ATTACATGCACATATTCCTGCCCATGCATGCTGGACTTCCCATCAATGTGTAACAGGCTTGCCTGCCAACACTTGCTTGTTAAGACTCGTCAGAGGACTTGACCACTGATCATTTACAACTCGCATTTTGTGTGTTTATTTGGAAAATAATGTAATCACTATGACTTTAACTCTGTTGCACAACAGATGAAATGTACAAATGGTTTTTCAAAATTTTTTTGTCCTCTTATGCTTCCACGCCCCCTTATTTTTATTCAATGCCCCCAATTGCATCCTAAGCTACAACACCCCACCACGGTTCCAGTGTCCCCCAGCGGGGCAGTATCACCCACTTTGGGAACCTATGATAGATTATCCAAATTAAATCCCTATATTAAATTAGGCCATAAGAAAGAAACATACTAGACTTCACTTTGTCCTCTGTCTTTTGTAGAGAAATAATATTAGAATCATCACAGCATCTGAATTGGAAGGAATCTCAGAGACCATCCAGCTCAAATTTGATCTGAACAAGAATCCATTCTGTAGTATATCAGGCTAATGATCATCTAGTCTTTGTATAAGGAGCTTCAGTGAGGGGGAATACACTACGTCCTGAGTCATTTCCATTTGACTTTGGGACAGCTCTAATTGTTAGGTATGTTTTAATTGCTTCCCAATGAAATCTGCTTCCCTAAAACCTTCACCCATAGCTCCTTGTTCTGCCCTCTGGGGCCAAGTAGAACAACACCCCCCCCCCACCGCCCACTTCGCATGATAGCCTTTCAAATACAGCTCTCAAGTCCTTACTTGGTCCTCTTCATTGGAGCAGTGTTTGTTTCTTTTGAAAACTCAAGTACATGACAATGTAAGGACCCACGTGGTAAATTCCATCTTAAATTTTTGCTCCAGGTAAAACTTTGCTTATGCAAAAGAATGCACATGCTCTTTCTTGTTGGACAATGAGAACTATGTAATCCTGTGTTTCTGCTTTGGCCTTAACTACTAGGAAACAGATGCAAGTCCAATGACCAAATTATAATAATTTACCTAAGGTGCCTGATAATATCCACTCCTTCTGCTGTTTTCCAATTGTACCTGTTCTGTTACTACCCATAACTATCCTGTTCTACATTAGGTTTTGTATGCTACATCAAATCATTTTTGGAACCAGGCAAAGTGTAAATCCTTAATAAGTATTCAAGAAACCACAGAAGGAATCCCTTTGTGAGGCAAAAGATTGCTCTGTAATTATGTGAAAATCTGGATTTGCAAACCAGATGTCAGGGTTTGCTGTACACAAAGTGCACCTGTATGGCTTTTACTAGGTTGAGAATTTTTGTTTGCCTCAAAGCCTGCATTCCTATAAGATTGCCCAATACTGACCACTAAAATTTATTAAGAGTAACTGCTCTCTGAATGCACTTTCGTTCTGGGAGGGTTGCTAAATTACAGGCAGGTGACAAAAGTAAGAATGTTTTCTGTGACCAATGGCTAAAGTTACGATTACACTTTACTATGTCCCATTGTCCCCAGTCACAGCCAGTCTGCTTATGCATTTCTACAGAAACATGAAATGAAACAAGCTAAAGGACTGGCTGACTCCAGCCACAGGTATAAAGTCTCCTCCCCCAGAATTTTAAAATGGCTGGTAGCATTCAGCTTTTTTTATTTTCACTCATGAAATGTTCGACCAGAGGGGCAGCTAGGTAGTGCAGTGGATAGAGCTCCAGCCTCAGAGTCAGGAGAACCTGAGCTCAAATCTGTCCTCAGACACATGACACTTATAGCTGTGTGACCCAAAGTAAGTCACTTAACCCTGCTTGTCTCACCAAAAAGCAAAAAAAAAAAAAAAAGTTTGACCAGTGCCTTTCCAAATATTAAGGTAGCTCAGTATTTATGAAACATGGGCTCTGCATGAATAATAATCTGACAACAGCCTTAATACAAATACGCCTCCCTCCTTTCAGTAGAGGTGGGGGGCTATAGGTAAAAAATGCTACATATACTATTAGGCATGGTTACTATCGATTGGTTTTGCTTAATTGTTTTTCTTTGTTACTGGAGACAACTCGACTTGACACATCTTTGGGAAGCATATAGGGCAGTATATTAAAAAATGACTATGATAGAAAAATAAAAGACATCACTAAAATTTTCTTAAAGCAAGTCAAGCCTCAAAACAGTGTTGAGATTTAGGGATTTCAGGGTGCTGGAACCCCAAAATCACAATGCACAGGTCCTGCCTGAAAGAATTCTATCCAAGGCCTCTTTCAGTCAAAGACAAGGTTTATTAGAACATCCCTCCTATTGGCTAGACTCTTAAGGAATCTGAACATTTGTGAGCTATTGGCTAGGTTCTTAAGGAATCTGAGCAGTGGCTAGATTTTAAGAATCTGAGCATCTTAATGGAGACAAGATGGACCTCATATAAAGAAATACTGTGGGAGAGATCTAGGAGTGGCCAAGTAGTCTGCAGGGACTGTGAGGTAATAGAATGCCAGGGACCTGCACCATGTACCCAAGGGAGAATGGAGCCTAGCTAGGATTAAGGGTGGGAAGTGGCAGGGGGCCATAGGGAGGTAAGACAACGGAGGGCTAGGCTAGGTTAAGGGTAACAGAGAATTGGGAGATTGGGCATAGCCACAATGAAAGGCCAGTTGATGGAATTATAGCCTCAGGCAAAAGCCAGAGATCTGGCCATTTGGGAAAGTCCAGGGTTTTTCCTTTTTGGGGTCCAGATTCCAACCCCATTAACAATAACATTGGGTTAATCTCTTCTTGGGCCAAATTGGGTTACATCAAATAGTACCTACTATTTACATCAATTTATGCAACCTCCTTCTTATTGAAACTTTCACTCCTCCTGTCTGGAGGTCTCTCAGTTAATGATGATGTTAAGGTGGGCTTCTTATGGTAAAATGAACAAAGTGCTGACTTTAGAATCATAAGACCTGGGGCCAAATTCATGATCCAGATTTATGACTCATCACTAGAGTGACTTTGAGAAAATCACTTAAACTCTTTGGGGCTCATTTTCTTCATTTGAAAAATAAGGGAAATTGGACTAGATGACCCCCAAGAGGACTTTTTAGTCTTACTTTTTACTCCTTCCTCCTCAAACCTGGCAACCTGATAGAAGCAAACCACACCCAAATGAGATCCTCTCCCCTAGTAATGATTGTTTTGTAATTAAGAAAGAGCAAAGGCAGCTTTTGTGAATGTTTCCCCCTCTGGGGATGTCTAGGATTTAAATTTACAATGTATTTCCTTTGTACTGTGGATTGGGAAAAAAGATCTCTATCTTATAATAAAAATCCCTCCGGGCTACACTGATTATCTCTGGTTTCTCTCCTTTCTTTTCCCACCCAGCCCCCATCTTCTCTGCCACTTAGGCAGCTAGGTGGTGCAGGATAGAGCCTTGAATCTTGAGTCAAGAAGACCTAAATTCAAATCCAGCCTCAGGCACTTACTAGCTGTGTCACCCTAGGCAAGCACTTAACCTCTCTCCGCCTCGGTTTCCTTATCTGCAAAATGGGGAGAGAAATAACACCCATCTCTCAGAGTTGTTGTGAACATAAAATGAGATATTTGTAAAGCGCTTTACAAAATGTAAAGCATTATTTACCCTACTCAGATTACCCTCATTACCCTTCTCCTACAGTGCCAAAGTTGTCTTTGTTCAAACAGCTACAGAAACTCTGTCTTCTAAGAACTCACTTACCAAGAAGCCAAGATGCCAGACCAACATT